GCATCTGATAGTTCAGAAGATGATTTTTATGACCTACAAAGGTGAAATTTTTCCTTCTAATGGTTATGTATGTATTTTATTTTGTATTATAAAAATGTTGGCTTCCCATTTACTGTAGTGATGTAGAATTTCCTTTTAAAATAAACTTATTTGGGCCAGGCACAGTGGCTCATGTCTGTAATCCCTGTACTTTGGGAGGCCGAGGCAGGTGGATCACTTGAGGTCAGGAGTTTGAGACCAGCCTGGCCAACATGGAGGAACCCCATCTCTACTGAAAATACAAAAATTAGTCAGGCGTGATGGCAGACACTTGTAATCCCAGCTACTTGAGGCTGAGGTAGGAAGATTGCTTGAACCCAGGAGGTGGAGTTTGTAGCGAGCCAAAATCATGCCACTGCACTCCAGCCTGGAAGACAGAGCAAGACTCCATCTCAAAAACTAAAACTAAACTAAACTAAAATAAATGTACTTAACAGCACTAATCACAATAGCCAAAAGATGGAAATGCTTGAATGTCCATCAATGAATGGGTGTGTGGGTAGACAAGTTGTGTCTATCCACACAATGGAATATCATTTAGTCATGAAAAGGAATGAAGAAACACGGATTCATGCTACAACACGGATGGACCTTAAAGACATTATGCTAAGTAAAATAATCCAGAAACACAAGGCTACTGTAGGATTCCACTTATATGAAACATCCGGAATAGGTAAATCACAGAAACAGAAAGCAGGCTGATGACAACCAGGGGTTGTCGGGAAGGAGGGAATGGGGTGTGACTGCTTAAAGGTTATGGAGTTTCATATTGACGTAATGAAAATATCTTAGAGTTAGATAAAGGTGATGGTCACCCAACACTATAAAGTACTAAACGCCACTGAATTCACTTTATTTTTACTTTTTTCTTCAGATGAACATCATGATCTAAGAATTCACTTTAAAATGGTTAATTTTATGGTACGTCAACTTCACCTCAATAATTTAAAAAATTAACTTTGAAAAGGGAAGTGAATTTGTTTAAAGAAAAATATGAAGTAAATAATAGCACAGAGGGAGCGCGGGTATGGCAAAAGCCACGAAGGTGATACTTAGAAAATACGGCACCATATTATCCACTCAGCGCGCAAGACAACTCTTTAAGGGCCAAGTCAGCGTCTTGCTCTCCTTTGTTGGTTTTTTTTCCCCCCCTTCAGCCAGCTCAGTGCTTAAGAAAAACTTGTTGAGTTCAGCTCAGCCCGGCTCAGCCTGGCTTAGTTAATTGAGTTAAGGCGAGCTGAGTCGAACTGAATGCACCAGCTGGCTGGCCTGGAGGAGATCCAAGTTGAAGATGTTAAGAATCACACTAATTCAATAAACGGCTGCGAGGTAGTCTAAGTAATGAGACTGTGTGCTTTTCCTTACCCGACTTACCTGTGTTCAGTTGGCATCTTAGGAGCCATGTCCACTTGGTAATATGATAGTTTTCCCCCCGTAATCCCCTGTGTGCGTTTGCTGAAAATGCCAGGCAAGAGGGGGAAGTCAAAGAAAAATGCAGGCTCAGCTGGAAGCCCCGGGGAAGTGGAAGGAAGGGCCTGAAGGAAGCAGAGGACTTTCTGTCTGTCTGTGCATAGGTGCTGGCAACAACCTACATCTTCCTTGTCCAAAGCTTTCCTGGTGCATCTAAGCGTAGCAACGTACTGTGGCATCTAGCTCATGCTCTTGACTCTGACTGCCTGGGTTTGAACCTGGCTGATGGACCTCAGACAAATTCATTCACCTTTCTGCGCCTTCATTTTTTTTGCAGCTATAAAATGAAAACAATACTGCTACCTATGGTATCGGGTTGTTGGGAAGATTCAATGAAACGATACAGTTCCAGGAATGCTGGAAGTGCTCAGAAATGTTAGCTATGAGGATTAGCACTGATCAGTGCAGCAGAAAGCTGTGTTTGAAAAGCATGGCAGGGCCTGGTACACAGACACCAGCTTTCCAGACACTCAGAGGACAGAACAGTGGTTTGTAAACATCCTCCTAAACGGAAGCACATGGCTTGCTCATGTAAGTTCTCCTGGAATGGTGATGTAAGTTCCCAGGACCAGGAGGGAGTAACAGGAATCGGGCTGTTTTTCTCCATTCTGGCAGGATCCTACCTACAGGGAGTCCCCAGAGGCTGCCTGCCCTGGGGGTAGGGAACCCGGAGACTAGAAAAAAACTGTGCAAAGGTATCCTTTTCCTTCTCTTCTATGGGAAGCTGCTCCACTTACATGTTAAGGTCTGCATCCTTGGCCAATAAATCAGAAGCCCACAAATCTTGACCCCATCTGCAAGGCTGCGAGTGCAAAGGGCAAGAGATGGGAATTAGGAGGTGTGGTTTCTCAGATGCTCTTGGCACTCATTTGACGCATTGTCAGTTTCCTGCCTCTTTCTGAGCTATTGTTCCTTCATTTAGGGTTAAGTAGACATAGATTCCAGAAAAACTGCTGATTTGCAAGTTTAAAAAATCTGGGGTGTCCTTTGTTTAAATAAAAGTGTACAAGGAAACTGAATCTACAGAGAGACACAAGAATTGCTGGGTGGTTGAAATAGAGGAGAGGAATCCCATAGCCACAGGTCACCCAGCCACCTGCTCTCTTCCACTGGCTTCCTCCCTCCCGCACATTTTGAAAATGACCAACAAGACTGAATCCCTGCAGCAGGGGCAGGGCTGGAGGCACAGGGCAGGATAAAGCATGGAGGAGGGAGGTGGTCCCAGTGGTGGCCTCCAGCAGCACGAAGATGCAGAGGAGAGCTGCTGTACAGGTCTGCCTGCCCATTAGTGACAGTGTGACACGGGAGTTTAGGACATCGAGTCTTTTTGTCGATTCCTCCTTCTTCTGGTAAGAGCACCCCAGTTTTCTTTGGGGGAACCACTCACTCTTACTCTGTCCAGGTGGTCTGGCCGGGCTTCAGCAGTGGCTGGAACCTGGGCACTTAGGTAAGTCCATCCCTGTTGCCAGAGTCGCTGGTTCAGCAATGGGCAGCTGAACCTATCAGAGTACACTAAACCTAACCCTAGGACTTTTACAGAGGCAACCGGGAAAAAGGCTGGATTGGATTCTGGAAAGACCTAAAACAGGTGAAGCAAGCCAATCTAAACATGAAACCAATACAGGGAAAAGCAAAACCAAAAAGCTAGAGAGAGGGAAATTCCTAAAGACTTAATTGAGGGCCTGGATCCAGCCATGCCTGAAGCTTATCCAGCCCTGGCTTCTCAAATAATACAACATACATTTTCCATCTGGCTTAAGTTCATCTAAGTCAGGATTTTGTCACTTTGCAACCGAAACCTCATGACCAATACACACGGGCAGTTTATTTAACCTCTTTCAGTTTCCATTTTCTCATTTACCAAGTGTCTCTAAAAATCTATATAAACCTTACCTTTAAGCAGATCTGTACATCTACGCACATATATCACAGCAGCAATAAGATATTACCAATAGTGGAAAGTATTTTGCATATGTGTTAGTGTTAAAGAAGGCAAAACAAGGATTGGTTAACATCAGTTCACTTTCTTTTCTAAATGAGAGTGGAGGGGGAGTAAAAGTTAAATAAATATCCATTACCAATGGGAATGGAGAAAACAGGAGGAGGAAGCCATGCTGACCAGAAAATGGGGAGGGGTCTGATGGAGGCTGAGGTTCCCACAGTTCCGATATGGAGGCTGAGCCCGAGGGAAACCCCTCAGCCCCTATCAGCCCCCAGGTTCTCGAGGCCAGGGGAAACCAGAGGGACAATTGAGATAGAACTGTCTTAGAAGCAGAAGGTTGAGAGGCCCAGACCCTATAAATGTGGGTCGTGCCCCAAACAAGCCATTGCAGCTCACGGCCAACTTGATGCATGCGGCCAGATCTTCCCTGGACAGACAAACTGGGCTTTTGTGGACGAGAGAGCTGTTCCCAGGGATTGCCGTCTTGGAAGGCCATTGTGGTCTGCTCAGGAACCCTTGAAATCGAAAGCCCTGCGCTCTCCTTGTCACAGCCTTCGCACATAAATACCACCAGGGGGGATTTCCCATGGAATTTTTTGCAACCACTCAAATGTTTCGTTTCCCATTGTTTGCCAGTCCCTCTCGGAGCCTCAACTGTCAAAGCAGCAGCAAACACAGGCTGCTTTTCCCCCAGGATCCCATGGCGCTCGCTCTTGCGTCCCCTCCATGTTGGGAAGCTGGCGTTGGCAGGATATCATCAGCTCGGGCCCGGGAATAAGGTCTGTTAGTCAACTAGTGAAGCAAGTCAGCGAAGGGAATACCCAGCCCTGCCCAGCCCATGCTTGCTGGGGAGGCATAGCTCTGTGCTGTCACCCTCGTTATTATCATCATGGTGACGAATAATTACACATATACAAAGAAATCCCTTCCACATATCTGAAGCAATTGACCAAAAAATACACAATGCAGCATTAGTGTTTCACTTTTAGAATATGAACTTGGCTGGGTGCAGTGGCTCACCTGGGTGCAGTGATCAAATGCCTGTAATCTCAGCACTTTGGGAGGCTGAAGTGGGTGGATCACTTGAGGCCAGGAGTTCGAGACCAGCCTGGCCAACATGGCGAAACCCCGTCCCTACTAAAAATACAAAAATTAGTCCGGGTGTGCTGGCACTCACCCAGCTACTCAGGACGCTGAGGCATGAGTGAGAACTGCTTGAACCCCAGAGGCAGAGGTTGCAGTGAGCTGAGATCACACCACTGCACTCCCGCCTGGGTGACAGAATGATACTCTGTCTCAAAAAAGATATATAAACTTGAATCACTTTTTTTATTGACCCCAGGTGCTTTAATGGAATTCTAAGTTGTAGTCCATACATCAGTGCTGAGAAAAGATGATCTATGTCAACTGATTGACTGATTAGAAAGCACTTGTTTTGAGGTTGGTACTGCGCTGTGCATTTTGGGGACCCAAATATGAAAAAGGCATAGCCGCCTGTGCATAGGAGCCGATGGTCTAGAGAGAGGCAGAGATTACAAACCAACTGGGATGCCAGAGTGACTGGGAGTTTATTTGGGGGATGTTGATCTGAGGGATGAATAGGAATCTCCAGGCAGGCACATGGGTGGCCCATCACCAGTTCACGCGATCTGAGTACATGTAGGATGAATGACCCCAGGCAAGGTTGGGTGCATGTTGCACAGCCTGACTCTGGGGGATGAGGAATAGTAAGATATCCTTTAAATATCCATTCACTAGGGCCTACCCACTGCACCACAGAGATTGCCCTAGTATGGAGTTTGACCATGTAGTCATTCATTCATTCATCCATTAAAGCCACAAATATTTACTGAGCACTTACGATGTGCCAAGGAAGGCTAGGTGCTGGGGAGGCAGAGGTGATCAAGATCAATCTGGTATCTTTCCTTTTGGAGCTTCCATACTGGCGGAGCAGAGGGCCATTAAACAAATATGCATGTCAAACAATAAAGAAATATATAGTACAGGCTGGGCACGGTGGTTCAAGTCTGTAATCCCAGTACTTTGGGAGGCCAAGGCGGGTGGATCAGTTGAGGTCAGGAGTTCGAGATCAGCCTGGCCAACACGGTGAAACCCTGTCTCTACTAAAAATACAAAAATTAGCCAGGCATGGTAGTGCGCACCTGTAATCCCAGCTACTTGAGAGGCCAAGGTAGGAGAATTGCTTGAACTCAGGAGGTGGAGGTTGCAGTGAGCCAAGATCGTGCCACTGCACTCCAGCCTGGGCAATAGAGCAAGACTCCATCTCAAAAAAAAAAAAAAAAAAAAAGTCACTATACAATACAATAAAAGACAACCTAATACACACAAAAGCATCTGTCTGCCCCTCAGTTTCTGAGCTCCCACTTGACACCAAGTGTTGTGGGGGTACAAATTTGGGTCAACATTTTGTGTAGCAGAACTCTGGGTGAAAACAGGATGCCACTCAGCAGTGACAGCCTCACTTTCCCGTTCACTTGGCTTTTTTTTTTTTTTTTTTTTTCCTTCATCTCTGGACACCTTGGATCCTGCCGGCAAGCCTAGGGAGGCAGTTTAGGAGTTATTTTCTTTACTTCTCAGGGGAAGAATCCAAGGCTTAGAGAGGAGGAGGGATTGACCAGCCTGAGGTCACACAGCTAGAAAGGCCAAGATTGCTATGCCGTTTTTTACAAAGAAAGAACAGTGGAGCAAGGTGGCCATTTTATTTGTTCAAAGCCACACTACCTGCTGGTACAGAGTACATAGAAGTACAAAATTCCACCAGGAAGGGAAACAAAACAGTTTTGAGACAGCCATGTCTCAGAGGTGAAGATTGGGGGAGATTTTAATATACAGTGTGAATTCCAATTCACAACTCTTTCAACGGGACCTCTTTCCGAAGTCCCGGGAACCAATATTCATCAACGCGTCTGACATCCCAGAGATCACAATACTCCTGCCAAGGGCTGTTAAAACTCCCATTTCCCAGATGAAGAGATTGAGTCCCTGCTGCACGCAATTCGACAGTAGCAGAACCAAAATTGGAACTCTGATCCACCTCGATTCTGGGACCTGTGGAGCTCCTGGTACCTAGAGCTGGCTCCCAGCAGGGGCCTTGGAGTCTGGGTAGCTGGATGCTGGGAGAGGCTACGGAGGTAAGGGCCCGGGGGCTGAGGTTGTAGCGGCTGGCCCAGGAATACGGCCCTTGCACGCCCACTTTTTAACACGGTGCCATCCCTGACAGACACCCTTGTCCTTTTCCTGTGCTGCCCTTCGTAACACAATAAATAAAGCCTTAGAGTAACGTGACCTGAGCCAGGCAGTAAATGATAGCACTGTCAGTTGTACACGACTGTTGGAACAAACACAGACTGTAATCATCGTGCTGTACGGGGAGAAAGACATTTGGCAAATGAGATTCCATTTTCACATTGGTTTGTGCTGAGCATATAAATTTCCTGCGGGCCGGCCAGCGTTGGGGATGTGTAATTGATTGCCTGCATTATAATAAACAAGCTGTGACAGGTGATCATTCATCATATTCCGCTGAACGTTCCAGCACACCAGAAAACGGAGGAAGAGAGGGAACGCGCGAACGAGGGGAGAGGAGTGGAGGAACCTGGGGGAGGGGAGGGGGTCGGAAAGACCGAGTATTCCCGACAGACAGAAAAACCAGGGGAGGGGCGGGGGAGAGAATCCGCTGAGCGGCCTGGGGAAAGTGAAAGCAATTACTATAATTCTTTTGATTATCTAATTTGTTCTTTCTGGCCTTCGTTATATGACCCTCCCCCCCTCACCCCACTCCAACATAGAAGGTCCCCCACGGGGACTTGGTAAGGCACAGAGAATGCTCCCTCCACGATCGAGGGGAGGAAGGGGGGAGGCAGGTGGGGGAGGGGCCGCGTCCAGTTGTAACCGGAGTAGATACATTCGGGAAAACCTGGGGGGAGGAGGAGGAGGACGAGGAGGGGAGGTGTGTGTGCAGGACTTAGCTTTGCTCTTGCACTGAGATGCCTCCAGTCGGATGGATAGGAACCAGCCTCTTTAAATACATTTTTTAAAAGGGTGTCTGAAAAACAAGTGAAAAGTTCCTTTTATTGGAGAAAAAGGACAGCATCCAAGTTGGCATCAGATGTGGTTCCACAAGCCTGTCATATGGTGCT